TGAAACAGGAAAATCACGAAAAGTCAACCACCACTCCTAGAAAGGCCAGAAAGTAAATACGACCCCCTCCCAACAATGAGCAAGTACGACCCCCCCTTTACAACGTCCGTGAAGCGAGAAAAATCAACTATCAAAATAAATTTTTCTCAGCCCAAATACGACCCCCTCTCCTGGCGGCCAAATACGACCCCCTGTTGGGGATTCCCCAACAACGATGTGGCCCTGCCTCGAACAGGTCTGAACTGTCACAGCAACATGGATATCGGCTTGAAATAAGCTTCAAGCGGGTAGCCCTTGTTTAAAGACAGCCCCCGCGCTCGAGTAGTACATGGTCGTCCTTCCTTGTGCAAGTAGTACAGCCCCCAAGCTAGAGACTGTCCCACTCTATTCGTCTGCACAGCGAGCGAGAAGCGAGCTACAGCCGCTGTAAGTTCTAGTTCTAACGCCTGCTCAGTTGGACCGCCTTACTTGCTAGATGTCCTCCGACGGAGGCCACTCAGTTGTTCTTAGTTGGGGCGGCGGGCATTGCTAATGCCCATGGATAATTCTGCTCCCCTTTATTACAGTTTACTCATTGGAGGTATATACATTCAATTCAACTCATTTCGCGAGGTGAAACAAAAAGCACGAGTGACGCAATTTTCGTGATGCAAAACCTCGACGCACAAAACGTGCGCTACCGTAATCCCAAATTCAGACACCGCGTTGATAAAATTCCTTTTTCCTTCCAAGAGTTTTTCCTCTGCGTTTTTGTTGTTTTCTTTTTGTATTCTTTTTTTGCACTGGATGATATCAACTACTGCGAGATGTGATAGAGAGATTTGTGAGCTAGGGGTTGCACAGATTTTGTTTATGTTGTTCTGGAGGACGCTTCTTGCCTGTTTTTGGAAGATTACTTATCAGCTACGGTTTCATAATTGGAAACCAGCTATCCATGAGAGCTGTCTTTAAGGATCGGAAGTTAGTGCTGATCTAAGTGGATTCGGCTCTAGTCTGGAAACGAAACGGAGCAGCGTCACACTCATTCAGAGCAAGAAGAACAATGACCCCATTTAGCTAGTTCCATGCCATGGAGTACTTTTGGATCAGCTACAGGATAACATTCTTCTAGGTTTCAATATATCCCCTTCGCCTCCCTTGTCACTGACCAGAAGGTCGTTCCCCGCTTTTTCGAAACGGTTTATTGCACTTTGTAGGGCCTTGCCCATGAACCATAAAAGTGGGCTTCGTTTTGGCTGAGCGGCCCCAGGAACGCCAAAAAAGGAGCGAAAGGTACGTCTATGTACCCCCATATGAGGGACGTTAAGCGCTATACTGGCGCCAAATTGCGTCGACGTCGAAAATAAGTGTCAAAATCGTAATCAGGACCATCGATTACCCTTATGGACGAACTTCCAGCCAAAAAATTTTTTCGATTTTTTGGGTTTTGGTGGACCATTTGGTCGGCAGTGGTGACCGTATCCCATCTTCGTAAAGACGATGATGGAACGACGACGTAGCAGGCCGCCGGGCAGGACAGCAAACCTGGTGGAATGCCTCCCTTTCCTTCCTCTTTGCATGAATTTCATCGGCATTGTTACTTTTATCTTTGATCTCTAAAAATAGGGTCCCTATGGCGAGGCACTGTAGACTTCTATAGAAAGACTGTCGGGCACAACCCAACGCACACACCCAAAAAAGTCGAAAAAAAATTTTTGGCCGAAAGATTGTTTACAGGGGTAATCGATGGCCCCGATCATGATTTTCACACTTATTTCGGCGCCGACGTAATTTGGCGCCTGGGTAGCGCTACACATCCCTTACTTGTGTGTAGCAAACGCATTCATTGGGAGAAACATGTCACTCCATATTAGCGATAAATGGCACCGTAGCTACAAATAAGTTCCATATTCGTGATTCGGGCATGGTCTGACCTATAAAGGTCAACTTTCAATTACGGTCTTGCTTAATGGTATGTAAAACCTGTAATAATTGAATAGCACTGATTCATGGAGTGTTCCCATTTAAAATGTGCCCATAAATGGCAGTTATCGAACGCATACTCACGCACAGACATATTTGAACGCGAAAACAGCAAAGCATAAAAAAATACAAAAACCGAAGGGAGTCGAACCATCAATAGGGTCCCTCCATCAACTGGTCAAAGTTTCAAGCGGTTTGCAGCTCGTAGAGGCCTCAAAAACAATCAGTTTCCAGGTTTCTTTTTCGCTCCTTTTTTGGCATTCCAGGGGCCGCTCAGCCAAAACGAAGCCCACTTTTGGTTCATGGGCAAGGCCCTACAAAGTGCAATAAACCGTTTCGAAAAAGCGGGGCACGCCCTGAACGACCTCCCTTGTGAGGGAAATGCTTTTTTGAAGTAGGGCGCTACATTAATGCATTAACCATTCCATTGTGAATGTACACAGGCTGAGCAAATGAAAAGAACTTCAAGTTACACAAAATTTAACGTTATAAGAACATAAGAGGTAGGGCGGTGGTAAGATGTAAGGACTACCTCCTCTTCTTCATCTGCATATGGTTCTCCTTCTGATGCACGCAGTTCTACTTTCTCACGCTGAGCCTTCGCAGCCTCTTTGTAAGCCTTGAACAATGTCTAAACTGCGATTTTGAAGTTTACCAACTGAACACAAAATCCACGATTACAATAAGTGAGCATCGAATATCAAGAATGAAACTGTGGATAGTGAATGACACATCAGCCACTGAAAGAAGGGACAAAACCGTCGACCACCTCCTAAACAAGCCACAGGTCAGGACGTGCACTCAAAAAAAACCTTGAAAAAGATAGGGGATCGGCATCAAGGTTTTTCATCAAGGCTATACTCCTCCACTGCGAAGCGATCGTATCACCTGTAGCAGGTAGCAAGGAAGGGAGTATTGTCGCCCACTGACGGCAGCAACTCATTCCTGGCTTGAGTGTCGGAGCGGTCGGATTGTTGAGATAATGTAAAAGACGTCGCAGCATGCGTGCGTGTCGCATCCACTAACAATTCGATCACCGAATTCTTCTTCCTGTCATATTCTGATCTATAGATTAGCTCCTCGACTTCCTGCGCTATGCTTTTTCAAAGTGATACAGAGAGTTTTTTTTTCAAAATTTGCCGGACACCTGACTGCAGGTGGGATAGGAGATGAGGAAGGGGTCACACCAGAGGAAAAATAATTTTTAAAGAGGTCGCATTACTCAGGAATTTTCCCTAATGGCAGGACGTGCCCAGTCTCCTATCCTTCTAGCGGCCGGCGCCGATCAATACGCGGATGCCTCCGTCCGTACCATTGGCGCGCTATTGCACTAGTAGCGCGTCATCGCTAACTCTGAACGCTACTTGAATGATACTGCGCAGCGATGTGGTCGCAACTCACAAAAAAAAACCCGATAAACAATGCGGTAGTGAATAGCATGGAAAAGAATGACATGAAAAAGAGAAAAGCTGGAACGGGAAAAGAGCTACCACCTTTTTAGCTTGAGATCTATTAATGGAGCCTACGGCAGCGTCACCATAAAGATATCTGTCGTGACCCCGAGATGAATCCCGAGTTTGCTGAAAAACCATTTCAAGAACGTGAGTCTGGAAAGACAATATGGAAAATGAGTTGATTTTGAGGAGGCATGTCCAGGTGGTGCCTCGGCCCGTAACTTATCGCTAGTAAGGAGAATTCGAAACTGTGTTACAATCTTACATACAGAAGTATTAGAACGAGCACAAGCAGCTCTCTTCTTTTTTGTGGTAACAGGTCTCGCAGTAGTCAGTCTCTAAATAAGGAAACTCATCAACGAAATACTGAATCCTGCCACAAGTTGCATCTCCTGAGCAAGAAAAAAAAATTTCGTTCCATTATATAGATTTTCAACACGGCAGTCAATATTCTGGTAGGTTGCAAATAGTTTCCGTTTATGTGCGTTAAAAATACAAAATTTTGATTGTATACCTGTCTTCAGCACTGCATATATCTGAAAATAACCGACCTGTGGTTTCGTCGACCAATCCATGCTACTGTACCGTTCGGGTGGTTTCACGGCTCTGTCTCCCTATAAAAAGCAAAATAGCGATGGAGCACAGCTCGCATATAAGAATGATAAATTGAATACTTCATCCTCTGTGAGAAACGTTACCCACGCTTCATAATTTCCCCTGTATATAATTTGCTTGTTTGTTGTTTGTTTGTCTGTCTGAGACCTGGTCTTACTAAAGGAACCGCTCGGATCGAGTAAAGATTGGTATGGGTAAGGAAGGGACAAGATTTACGGAGCACATGTGACCTACTCCACCCACGGCGGACGGGCCCGAAAAAGAACGGTGTTGCAGACAAAAATCCATTCGCTTCCTTCGGAGTAGTCCAGAGGTGACGTCATCTAAGAGATGACAGACCAAATGCAGAGGCACACTTGGACTAGGTGGGGTTCTTGAGATGGGCGCAGCTTACCACGGAATTCAGTAGCTAGATTTCCGACAGGGTTTGGAGATGAAGAGAACAAGAATATCTGGAGAGAGAGAACGGAGCATGTCTGTGGTGTGTTGCGACCCGCCAAAAGAGGGGGAGACTGCGCTCAAGCAGGTACTTATTCTATTAACACGTTCGCGGCGGCGCCGTTTCGCCAAAAACTTCCGTTTGTCGAGCGGCGTGTTCGCGACAGCCTTAGTCAATCCTTTCGTTTATGGTTCAGCGCGCTCGGAGAGGATACAAGTCCGGCAAAACACTTCTAAATTATTTATTATTATTTGTATTCAACTGTCAGCGAAAGGAAGGAAAAAATCATATCAAAAATAAGCGACGGGGCGCATTACTTCTGGAAATAAAAGATTTGCCTGAAGAGAAAAGTTTTAGCGGGTTTTCTCTGGTACACGCCTCTTTGAGCATGTTAATATTATTCACCTATAGTTTGTGCTATTATATGTATATGACAGTTACAGGAAAAAGAAATGAATGAAAAAGAAAAAAAGAGCAAAAACGAGCGAAGTGGCGCCTGTACCCCCGGAATACACGACTCGTCTGAAAAAAAAATTTCGAGCGTTTTTCCGGTAGTTCGTCCCTTTTCTAATGTGTGCATACTACTCCTCTATTGTTTGTTTGATTATTTGTTTTCAATCCTCCGTGAAAATGCAAATCCTTCGTGAAAAATGAAAGGAATGTACCAAAAACGACTAATACGCGCGTGTACTCCCGGGAGTACACGATTCGCCGAGAGCGGAGTTTTTTTCCCGCCTCGAACGTGTTAGTGACCTTCAACACATATAGGCAGCATAATTTCTTAACCTTTTTTGCACATGGCATTTGTTACTAGTTCGGCACCTGGCTGGCGCCGTCCTATCCTGTATTTCGGGGACGGCTTGCCGCTTCCGGCTAGCCGACTTAGTTATAACTATAACATTACGCTGACAGTCACAGTGTAACCCATACCACCCAGCCTAGAAATGGCAGCCCCTGAGAATTTCAGAGAGGCTATATATCAGAAGGACTAGCACGATAGTCCCTGAGTCGACTGCCCTCTCCTACCTCATTAACAATTATGCCGCCCTTCATCAAAACGCCGACAACAACGTGAATGATATGGACAACCGCCAAACTCACAAGATTTTTTCATGGAATCTATTTTGAAAACAGAAATGAAAGCTGATAATGCCTTCCCCCAATCTTAATAGTAAGAATAGTCAAAAAATGACTTTCTCAGATGGATGGGCAAGTGAAGAAGATGGGTAGGAGCTCATTCTAAATTCAAGCGCTACGAACCTAAAGAATGAACATGTTTACACTGTTTACCTTTCAATTGCAACGCATCCTTTGTCTGCTTCAACGATTACCTTGCGAGGAACTATAGAATATCTATGACGGCCTGTACGGAAGAGGGGGAGGGACTATAAAAAGCGAAAACTGAGCGGAAGATGAGATCACATTTGAACGACATTTTATCAATACGGCCTGAAACCTCTTAACTTGAAGGACGTTCGACGCTGTTTTCCAGATTATCACCTTTCTAAAACAAATATAGAACGACATTGGATTCGAGCGAACGGATAGACCCGCAACAAACATGTCAGTGATGAACAAATGCCGAAAAGTGTTGTCTGTGAGAACGACGAACTAAGGACATCAAAACTAGGACGCAGTTGGACCTCTAAAACCATTCCACCCTGAAAACCCGGGACTTTCAGATCCGCTTCGAAGGGAGTATTCAAGTTCGTAATATGACCGGAATCGGAAGGAACTCGCCAAATGTCGACAAACATCCTAAGGGAAATTCTCATTTCGCTGCAAAGCGCTTTCACACTGTGTGATCCTTATTCCCCTTCGAGCGATCGATCGGATAGTATTATACGCCTGCCGTATGTAACACGCGCAGTACTAACCCGCTAAGCATATTTGTGAAGAATCGAAGCGATCTTGCGTCAACGAAACTCGGTCAAAGCGCATCTCAACGGTTCGCAATTAATCGCAGCCCCTTACGGAGATGTTGCCTGATCGAGGCTGTATAGCGTAGACGATGGAACTTCACAACTCAGGCCGATAATGAGCGATTTTATGCCGCGTGTGAAGTGATCCCGTATTCACTTATTTCTACTGTGGTTTTACGCTAATCTGCGTTGACACAGAAATCGAAAGCAACAATTCCCAGGCACGCCTACGTCCGACCCGTTTCTCCTGGACCGATTAAAAATCCAGCCAGGAACAAAGCCGTCCCAAACAAGAAAAATTTTGATATGAGTAGCTCGTTTTGTCTTGTTCGTACCGCAACCTTTGGCATCACTCTCTAACACTCCTAGTCGTAATAAAATAACAGCATTAACAAGCATTAAAACAAAGAAAAAGAAAACAATGCCGAGAAAGCAACAGCTCAAAAAAATATATCGAGCAGAACATCGAATGCTCCCTCACCTGTTTGCTTGCCCCCAACAATGAACAGCTAAGTCTGGTGGCTTCTCGACTGGCGGCAGGAATACGCGAACGCATACCTGCAAAAATATGTAAATACTGATGGGTTTACTTTATGATGCGTATTTAAGGAAATCCGGCACTATTTAACTCATTACTTACCCCGATTTTCCATTTGTTATTATTCAAGTCCCGATTTCAATCACTTATTTTTTCTTACGAGGGCAGATTGGCTGAAAGTTCCGGGTTTTTAGAGGTATTCGACCGCTCGGCCTAAAACACGAATATTCCCATCCATGCAAGGCTGCACGACCGCAGACTTGCCGCGCCAAAGATACACCTAGATCACGAATCTCGCTGGAAACCTTTCCCGGCAGTAGTTTGAATCTCCCAAGACACGAATATGGCATCCCGCTTAACCGAAACCTGGCTGGCCCGCGCCCACGTGCCGGCGCCAAACCCTTGTTTCGAGCCACATGCCCGCTGTTAGGGCGTAGTATGGCGGAGGGATATTTGACGCTTCTTGCATTCACGCAGTTATCAACATTTGCGACGCGTGGCAGCTAAGTGGAACACTTTACGATCTTATGTGCGCTTCTGCAAGGCTTTTATGCTGGCCAGGGAATCACTCCTTCTCCCAGGAGTGATTCCCTGCAGGCAAGGCTCAGCCATAGAAGAGCGCTAAATGGCGCTGGTATGGAGAAATAAATGTTACCATCGTGATCAGGGCATAAACTGACTTATTAAATTGATGGTTTTTTATCATTTTGTCGAAAGATTGGCGCCAAATCAGCACCTAGTGCGCAATGGCCGCCACGGGCTGAAAACTTAAGGGAGGTTCGTGACTCAGGATAGTACATTACTGTGCAAATTACATCGAAAACTCTGCGGTGATGAATAAAGCGTGGCGCGCCGCCAAACTGCGCCAATTTAGTCCGCCAGCCGCCATAAATGATGTATTCTGCACCAGAGATAGCCGGCCTACCTCTATTGGCATGTTCAGAAAAAAAATTCTGGCGGTCTAGTAACAGTTGAATAGTTGGCCGGAAATTGTGCCAGAGGTTGACTGATCACGCTCGCCACTACCAACTCGCACGGCCACGAAAACTAATCATGTGCAACATTGACAACGAGGGCCGCATTTTAAAAACATCATCACATGCGCAAGCCATTTCTAGCTTGCGCCTAGCTGGACGAACGAAAAATTTGCCAAGTATAGCAGTAAGAAGAGAATGCGTTCATGCTTCACTCCACCGTTCTGATGATGAGGGCGCTGAGGCGGTTCTCCGGGACTGGACTTAGCGACCCAATAGGGGGGGCGTACCCATTCCTGTTTTGAGCGATTGAGAAAAGTATGGATATTGACTGTCGCCGAAAATGACGCTAAGAACGATGGCGGATGCTGAACACGCTGTGTCGATACCTTCTGGTCAGTAAATCGCTGCCGCAAAGTATGAACGCTCTCTAACAAAGGACAACGCAGTCCTCTGCGTGTTATCCCCGAAGCGCTGGTTCAGCCACAATTTTATCAATTCAAACTGATCAATTCACCCTTAGCCTTTTCCACAGAAGAAACCAATGGTAAAAATCAGTGGTGAGTTGGTTCGAAAATCTTTCGAACCTGGTTGCGAAATCGAACAAACGAGAAAGTCCGATGTTAGTTAGGTAACAAAGAACTAATTCTCAGAAGCAATGGTTCCATCTTATTCCCACAACATTCCAGGAAATCCTTGGAGACCCAGGTTCGAGAGTGTTCATACTTCCCGCGTAGCCGCTCGCCATACGCGCATGGCGCGAAGTGGCGAAATATGAGCAATACACGACTGTTTTTTGGGTGCGCTGTAACATGATAGAAGTAGCTATGCCTCTGAAAATAGTGTCTTTATGCTCGAGGTTCACCATGGAAAAAAATTCAGGAGCTTCCTAATGTACTCTGTGTTCCGCAGCTCAGTTTTTGCGAGACATATAGCGAAATAACAAGAACAACAAATAATCCCTGATAATTTGTTGCTGCGGAAAATGAGGAGGAAGTCGTATTGAGGTCAGGCTAGCAGGAATACTAAAATTTCTGACTGCGATTGGTGCACAGCGGAATAGTCGCGTTGGCAGCGGAAGTGCAGT